AGCGTATCGGAGTGCGCGAGGACGATGAGGATTGTCGGGTAGATGCCCTGCGGGTTGGTTGCGATCGGTGGGTATTCGGGGCACGGGGAGGATTGGCCACTCACGATAAACACGCTCGACGCGTACACGAACATCTTGAAAGCGAGTGACAGGCCCGCATTTGCAGCGAGCCAGTTGTGCACGACCGGAGCAACTTCGATCACTTGAATGAGCTGTTGTTGTCGTCGTCGTGAGAAACGTTCCCTCATATCGAACATCACGTGAAGCGCTTACGAAGAATAAAAAATAAAGGACGCCCGATTCGACCAGGAGCAGCAGAACATACCACGCCGGGCTCTTGTGTACTGTCCCGACGCTGCTGACTCGGTCGACATGACCGATGCTCTTCCTCGTCCGCGCGAATTTCCTGAGGCGGAATCAGCGATAGATCATACTCTGCATCTCGTCCAACTCACAACGCCATGGCCCCAATCAGCGCCGTCGCGACGGCCGTCGTGGCACAGGGCATCACGTACGTCACCAGCTGGACGTTCCTGCAAAACGCGGGGTGTGTGAAGTTGCCCAGGACGATATCGGAGCCGATTGTGGCGACGCAGTAGGTGAGTAGCAACGTCGCGACTGTTTCCGTCTTTAGATTCGTGGTTAGATTAGAGGGCAGGAGGATTCCTACCGACAGAGCCGAGCCATAGAAGACAGGGACAGCGAATATCCAGACATGGTGGGTTGCCTTGAGCTTCCACGCGCGGTGGATGATGATCGCATCCCCGAGCAACGCCTGTCCCATACGTGAGTAAAGCCTTCAAGCCCACATCCTCCTCACACCAACCATATACCCATAGATCGCCGCCTGAGCAGCGACGATCTTGAAGATGACGCCCGAGGCATCGCCGTACTTGACGCCGATGTCGGCGTCCGGATTCTCGATGAGCGTCATCTTGCCCTCGATGATGAAGCCGGCGAGGTCGAGCGCCCACTGCACGGTCGCAATGGCGAACATCGCGATGACCGCCGCGAGGTTCACCTGCGACCCGCGCACGCCGCGGCGTTTCTTCGAGCTGGGTGAAACAAACATCAATCAGCATCAGATTCCGATTCCGATATGCCCCCTCGGACTGATTCGGGCGGGCTTACAGAAGCACGAGACAGGCTTGGACCACCACCGTGCCGTAGATGCCTGCAGTGAATATCCAGGATGTGAGGCTGGCAGCCCGCGGTGCATGGAGGACGGAGAGGGGCCGCACCTAGCCAAAGCGTCTCGTGGGCGATGGCGACGAATCCCTGCACCAGGTCTTGCCCGATCGAATGCACAACGGAGCTCTCGTCTGGCGTCATTGGCCTGAGATAAACAGAGGGCTGGAAGTCCAAGTCCTTGGCGGTTGGGTGGTTGGGGGGCGGGGCGTCCGAAAGTTGAACTTTCGGACGCCCCGCCCCCCAACCACCCAACCGCCAAGGACTTGGACTTCCAGCCCTCTGTTTATCTCAGGCCAATGACGCCAGACGAGAGCTCCGTTGTGCATTCGATCGGGCAAGACCTGGTGCAGGGATTCGTCGCCATCGCCCACGAGACGCTTTGGCTAGGTGCGGCCCCTCTCCGTCCTCCATGCACCGCGGGCTGCCAGCCTCACATCCTGGATTATTCACTGCAGGCATCTACGGCACGGTGGTGGTCCAAGCCTGTCTCGTGCTTCTGTAAGCCCGCCCGAATCAGTCCGAGGGGCATATCGGAATCGGAATCTGATGCTGATTGATGTTTGTTTCACCCAGCTCGAAGAAACGCCGCGGCGTGCGCGGGTCGCAGGTGAACCTCGCGGCGGTCATCGCGATGTTCGCCATTGCGACCGTGCAGTGGGCGCTCGACCTCGCCGGCTTCATCATCGAGGGCAAGATGACGCTCATCGAGAATCCGGACGCCGACATCGGCGTCAAGTACGGCGATGCCTCGGGCGTCATCTTCAAGATCGTCGCTGCTCAGGCGGCGATCTATGGGTATATGGTTGGTGTGAGGAGGATGTGGGCTTGAAGGCTTTACTCACGTATGGGACAGGCGTTGCTCGGGATGCGATCATCATCCACCGCGCGTGGAAGCTCAAGGCAACCCACCATGTCTGGATATTCGCTGTCCCCTGTCTTCTATGGCTCGGCTCTGTCGGTAGGAATCCTCCTGCCCTCTAATCTAACCACGAATCTAAAGACGGAAACAGTCGCGACGTTGCTACTCACCTACTGCGTCGCCACAATCGGCTCCGATATCGTCCTGGGCAACTTCACACACCCCGCGTTTTGCAGGAACGTCCAGCTGGTGACGTACGTGATGCCCTGTGCCACGACGGCCGTCGCGACGGCGCTGATTGGGGCCATGGCGTTGTGAGTTGGACGAGATGCAGAGTATGATCTATCGCTGATTCCGCCTCAGGAAATTCGCGCGGACGAGGAAGAGCATCGGTCATGTCGACCGAGTCAGCAGCGTCGGGACAGTACACAAGAGCCCGGCGTGGTATGTTCTGCTGCTCCTGGTCGAATCGGGCGTCCTTTATTTTTTATTCTTCGTAAGCGCTTCACGTGATGTTCGATATGAGGGAACGTTTCTCACGACGACGACAACAACAGCTCATTCAAGTGATCGAAGTTGCTCCGGTCGTGCACAACTGGCTCGCTGCAAATGCGGGCCTGTCACTCGCTTTCAAGATGTTCGTGTACGCGTCGAGCGTGTTTATCGTGAGTGGCCAATCCTCCCCGTGCCCCGAATACCCACCGATCGCAACCAACCCGCAGGGCATCTACCCGACAATCCTCATCGTCCTCGCGCACTCCCGATACGCTG